ACTTGAACCCGGGAGGTGGAGGTTGCAGTGGGGCCAAAATTGCGCCATTGCACTCCAGCCTGGGCAACAAGAGTTAAACTGTCTTGAAAGAAAGAAGGGAAATAATCAAGAGAGCTTCTGGAATAGAATACTGGCATAGAGACTGGCTCAGCGTGCATTGGACTTCCGTTCCTGAGCCCGCCGGTGACTCACACTTGGGAGATGAAGCGACGTGGGGGTGGCTGTTGGCAGCAGTATGCCAGATCATGAAAACAACACATTTTGTTTTGAAGATAAAAATACCGTTCTCCAGGAAATGTTACTATCGGAAAGACATGTCAACGTGTGCATTTGTAAGTGACGACTGCAAACCTTGACTCACGGATAACTTGGATGTTAGAGGAAAAGCAAAGGTAATAAAACTAAGTTTGGCGTTAAAAGAGGGAGACAAAATTTACTAAAACAATTAGTTAGGTATGCACCTCACTTCTGAGCATCAGCAGGCCCACCTTATTTAATAGTTCCTTGTTATGAGCTAAGAATTCATACCATCTTAAAGCTGCCAGGGGCTTTAGGGAGCCTGAAATGTCATTCATCAGAGTTGATGCTCACGTGTGATGAGGCTGAGCGCTTGAACACTTGATCAGGATTTTTCCACTCTGATCTTTATTTTCTGAGAATGATATTTTATATGTGAAGAGTGCATGTAGGCTACTCAAATCCAAATGCTGTCTCTGCCTTTTAGTTTTTGTTTTTTTAAAAAACCTGGAATAAGATGAGGCATGTAGCCCTTCACTCCATCATTTTCTAATTTAGTTTCCTATATTCCCATTACATTTAATCTCCAGCCCAGGAAGAAGATGAGGAGAGAGGAAAGGAACATAGGATTTGCTGAGCTCTCTGCAGCGTCCTGCAGGTTAGGGGTCTCATCAGAAATTTAGTAAGTCAGGGACCCGCACTTTCAAAAATGGAAGTGAAATAAAACAGAAAATATCAAAGTGCCTTGCATGTAATAAGCCTAAAGTTGTTTTTAATTATATATAAACTCTGTGTCTGTGCGTATCTATATCTCTCATGTGACTGAGTTGCAGCATAATAGTTTATCTTACCATATGTCATTGCCAAAAAACTCTGAAAGTCAATATTGTACCTTATGGATGGTCCTCTTCCCAGGACCATCTTTCCAGGGATCCTAGGATACGGGCAGTGGGAGGGCCACTTTATTCCAGCCTACGTGACCAAAATGCCAACGGGTCACCAGAGCCTTCTCAGTAGCTAAGTACGTCAGAGCAAAGGAACAAAATTCCAGCACTCACACTCCTCACACAGCAAAAAGACAGAAACATAGTCTCTTCACCTGATGGCACCTAGGTTCTTCAAACAGTGCTTTGAATACCGTCTCTGGATGCCATCTTTGTAGATGGTTTTTCGGTATTTGCCTTTTTTTTCCAATTTGGTAATACCGATTCTCGACTTTCCCCCTTTGTATGGGACATTTGTGGTTCTCCTTGTCCCTCCCTTCCTTCTGTCTTCCTCCTGCTGGGTATGTGAGTAGGTATTCCATGCACATCAAGAATGTGATGGACATGATGCTGCTTCCTTCTCCGGGTGTCACGTCTGGATGTGGAAGGCATCAGCTTGTCCCAATACCAGAGATCTTTTTCTGACTATATAAACTCGTGTGTGTGTGTGTGTGTGTGTGTGTGTGTGTGTGTGTGTGTTTACACACAGGCCATGTGTGCTGGGCTAAGCTTTTCTCCCTTAGTTAAGCTGGTATCCCCTGGTTCCTTCATGTACTGTGCAGGTATTATATTTCCTTTGTAATTAATAAGTAATTTTTGAGAGGGCTCTCTTAATCTCTATTCTCATCATACTTTCACTTGCAAATTTTAGCATTCATTGCTGGCTCTTGCCTAGGAATGTAGGCTTTGCCTGTTTCTCCTGCCTGATCTTGCAATCCTGTAAAGTTTTCTCCATTAAAAAAAAAAATTTATTAAAGTGAATAGCTTGGCTCTTGATCTCATATTCGAATGCCTAACCTCAAATTCATTCTGACCTCAATTCAAATTCTGCATGTAGCTTCTAGCTGAGACTTTTGGTTAAACAAGGACTCCCTGAGGTTTGCATTTCCACTTAGAATATTAAGGAAAGGGCTGGGTGTGGTGGCTCACACCTGTAATCCCAGCACTTTGGGAGGATGAGGCCAGTAGATCACCTGAGGTCAGGAGTTCGAGCCCAGCCTGGCCAACATGGTGAAATCTCAACTCTACCAAAAATACAAAAATAAGCCGGACATGGTGGCCTGCGCCTGTAGTCCCAGCTACTTGGGAGACTGAGGCAGGAGAATCACTTGAACCCAGGAGGCAAAGGTTGTAGTGAGCCAACAACGCACCATTGCACTCCAGCCCAGGCAGCAGGCTGAGACTCCATCTCAAAAATAATAATAATAATAATAATAATAAGTATTAAGGAAATATTAAAAACTCAACATATTTCGGTGAAAATTGACAATGCAGATTGTCAGCAGCTTATTCAGAGGCTATGACAATTTTCTAAGGCTTTTTTAAGAGCGACGATCTCAATCTTAACATTTCAGTAAAGATTTTCTCCAGTTAGATATTAATTTCTTGAAGCTCTTGTGATTGTGTTAAAGTGGTCTCCGTAACTCATTATATTCAGACTAGTTGTATTCCTGTTCAAGATCTGGATAGCACAGAGAAAATGAAAGTGTTTGAATTAAATAATGAAGGAATGCCCATCCTGGGAAAGAAAACCTTTAACCTGCATGACTTTATGGTCAATTATACAGGTTATAAATACTGAAGTTTTAGGTTGGCCTGTGTGAAATATATTAGCAATTTCTATTGAATGCATCGTCTGCTGAGCTGGAATAAGCCACCTCAGGATGTGCTAGCTGCTCCCATTTGTCCTGTGATGGGGGTATGGACCTTCTAAGGCCTCCAGAGTTTTTTGCTAATAAGGCTCAGCTTTTTCCTGTATCTGCAGATGTCTTGGTCTGGATCCCTCACTTTTTTTTTTTTTTTTTTTTTTTTGAGACAGAGTTTCACTCTGTCACCCAGACTGGGAGTGTGGTGGCACAAGCTCGGCTCACTGCAACCTCCGTCTCCTGGATTAGAGCGATTCTCCTGCCTCAGCCTCCCAAGCAGCTGGAATTACAGGTGCCCGCCACCATACCTGGCTAATTTTTGTATTTTTAGTAGAGACGGGGTTTCACCGTGTTGGTCAGGCTGGTCTCCAACTCCTGACCTCAGGTGATCTGCCAGCCTCGGCCTCCCACAGTGCTGGGATTATAGGCATGAGCCACGGCACCTGACGGGATCCCTCACTTTAGAGAGCAGATGCACTATAGGAAATTTGGACTGCGAAGCAAATGTGTCTAAATTTATGCCCCTTTTCCAGAAACTTTTATTACAAAATTAAACATATTTTCTCATTTAAAAAAAAAGATGGGCTGGGTGTGGTGGCTCACACCTGCAATCCCAGTACTTTTAAGGTGGGTGGATCACAAGGTCAGGAGATTGAGACCAGCCTGGCAACATGGTGAAACCCCATCTGTACTAAAAATAGGAAAAAAAACATTAGCCTGGCGCAGTGGCACGTGCCTGTAGTCCTATCTACTCAGGAAGCTGAGGCAGGAGAAGCACTTGAACCTGGGAGGTTGTGGTTGCAGTGAGCCAAGATCGGGCCACTGCACTCCAGCCTGGGCAGCAGAGCGAGTCTCCATCTCAAAAGAAAAAAAAAAATAAAAGTTGTACCAACTGAAAACAGCCACCCTGCATTTCTCCTGATGCATGCCTCCCATGAGGGTCACTTCGTGTGTGTCCACCGGGCTCACCTGGACACTTACAGTTGGCTAAACTTTGACTGGGTCCTGCATGAGCTCATCATGTGTCCAGGGCCTCATGCAACCCAGATGGCTGAGTCTCCACACTAAAGCCTCATTCTTGGCCTGTCACAGTGGCTCAGATTATCCAATCACTTAGGTGTTAAGCCCATTGTGCATTAGCTATTCTTCCTGGTGCTCCCCCTCCGGCCTCTCCCACCCTCCAACAGGCCCCAGTGTGTGTCCTTCCCCCCATGTGTCCATGTGCTTTTCTCATTCAGCTCCCACTCATAAGTAAGAACATGCAGTGTTTAGTTTGCTGAGGATAATGGATTCCAACTCCATCCATGTCTCTGCAAAGGACATGATCTTGTTCCTTTTTATGGCTGCATAGTATTCCATGGTGTATATGTACCATATTTTCTTGATTCAATCTATCATTGATGGGCATTTGGGTTGATTCCAGGACATGTGTTTATTTAGATGTGTGTATCCCTCTATGCATATATGAGTTCATGAGTACATTTTTCTATTTTCATCAAGAAATTATTCTTCCTACCTGGAATTATATCTAAGTCTTTTCTAGAATATCTGGCTACTATTTCAGTCATATCTGAGTCAGTTTTCCCTTGCCTCATCCTTCTTCTTTACAGCAGGGGGGGAGTTTGTGTTTTACAGCCTGAGCCCAGCTCCATTTTTCCCACCAGAAAGCATTAGTTTACAGCAAGGACATTAATATAAAAGTAAGAGTAGGGGCCGGGCGTGGTGGCTCACACCTGTAATCCAAGCACTTTGGGAGGCCGAGGCGGGCAGATCACCTGAGGTCAGGGGTTTGAGACCAGCCTGGCCAACATGGTGAAACCCCATCTCTACTAAAAATACAAAAATTAGCCGGGCGTGGTGGTGCGTGTCTGTAATCTCAGTTACCCAGGAGGCTAAGGCAGGAGAATCGCTTGAACCCAGGAGATGGAGGTTGCAGTGAGCCAAGCAGAGATTGTGCCACTGCACTCAGCCTGGACAACAGAGCAAGACTCTGTCTCAAAAATAAAAAAGTAAGAATAGGGGCAGCTGGTCTCGAAGTCAGAGGCCCCCACTTCTGAATGCATCTGTGATATCGCTGCTGCTGCAGCATCCAGAGTCCTGCCTACTGAAAACATTCTGAACTCTTCTCTTACAGAGATTAACCAAAGTGCTGACAATTTGCACATATTTCTTCTGATATGTGGACTTCGACAAGTGAAGGACCCTCTCTACCTGGTGGGCGCGTTTTCAGGTGTGCTTGCTGGTTACGTTCCTGCGTTGTTTATGGAATTCCTGTGGGCTCGCGTCTCAGCATTTCTCCCTTCCCGGCTTTGAGCTTTTTAGCTCATTCTTTGCACATGAGAGCTGTTTCTAGATCACTGCTTTCGAAAAGAACAGAAAACTGTATGGGATCAGCAGCTCTGGGAGGAATTTCCACCCTGTTTTCCACTGTCCTGTGCCCTCAGGTTCTGAGAAAATCACAAAAATAGCAAATCATTGTAAGACTAAAAGAATTTTACCTGAAAATATTTCACACATACCAATCTGTGTGATGCATTTGGAGTTTTATTTATTGTTTAAGCTAATCTATGTAGCTTTAGTATATTCCAAAGTCCACATTGAATTGTAGTGATACTGGACACTCATCCTAGTTATCCAGTAAATTAGAAATCTAGATAATGGATATTATTGTAGAAAAAAATTCTGCTTAAAATCATAAAATTTCAAACATAGAAATTCTAAATAAATACTATTTAAATTGACTAATATTATGAATGAAAGCCAAATGGCATGAAATAATAACTGGGAAATTTATATTGAAGTAAATTGTGCTTGCAGCTGCGGCTGGAACCCATGTTAAGTATTTCATTGTTTTCTTTTTTCTTCCCCAGAATGGCACCAGGAGGAGCCCAATGTGTACCTGGTGATTGTGGGGCCTGAGGTAAGTTGATGTGCAGTAAACACTGATCTCACCTTTGTTTCCTTCTTTATACTTTTTATGTGTTTTCCACAATTAGTTTACATTGCTCTTCTAACCAAGTGGGATTTTCCTCTTTTTAAGTAAATGAAGTCAGTTTGCCTTTTAAAAAATGAAAACTAGACCAAGGTTAAAGATCATTTCAATTACAATTAATCTTTACAACTAATTTATTGCATAAAACTAATAACTTCTACAGAAATACGGAGGAGTCCAGCCAGGCGCAGTGACTCCTGCCTGCAATCCCAGCACTTTGGGAGGCTGAGGCAGGCGGATCACCTGAGGGCAGGGGTTGGAGACCAGCCCTGAGAATGTGGTGAAACCTCATCTCTACTAAAAATACAAAATTTAGCCGGGCTTGGTGGTGGCTGCCTGTAATGTCAGCTGCTTGGGAGGCTGAGGCAGGAGAATCATTTGACCTCGGGAGGTGGAGGTTGCTGTGAGCCAAGATTGTGCCACTGCACTTCAGCCTGAGTAACGGAGCAAGATTCTGTCTCCAAAANAAAAAAAAAAAAAAAAAAAAAAAAGAAATACAGAGGAGTTCTATAGAGAGAAAATTAAAGTTATATAAAGTGAAAATTAGTCTAATTCACTGCATAAGGCAAATATCATGTGTGATCCAAATTGTTTTTGAAATTTCCTTAAATTACTCAACAAGCCTGGTGTTGTTCCTTCTACCCAGCATCGGGTGGCAGGTGACACCTTTGGGAGCCCTGTTATGTGGAAATGAGTATCTGTAAATCTGAGAAACACTCTGGGACGGGAGACGTTCCGACCCGACCATGGCGGCCGTGACCGAGGATGGAGTCCCTGGGAGACACTTGGAGATGCCGCCTCCAATTCCATGGGGACTCCGGGATATTCACTCATCCCTCACCAGATGAGGATCCAACACCTGCTGTGTTCCACGCTGGTCCTGGCAGAAGTCCCAAACACTTAGAGTCGTAGAATCTGTCGCTGCAGTGGGCATCTCGCCAGAATGAACTCGCACTTACTCCAAGCGATTTGGAAAACAGAATACACCTAGTGTTTCCAGTCAGACAGGGAGGACCGCTGGCCGTGACGGCTCCGTGTCTTTGTGGGTTTTCTTTTCTTTGAGATGGAGCTTCGCCCTTGTCACTCAGGCTGGCGTGCAGTAGCATGATCTCAGCTCACTGCAACCTCTGCTTCCTGGGTTCACACAATTGTCCCACCTCCGTCTTCCAAGTAGCTGGGATTACAGGCACTTGCCACCATGCCTGGCTACTTTTTGTATTTTTAGTAGAGTTTAGCCATGATGGCAGGCTGGTCTGGAACTCCTGAACTCAGACAATCCGCCCACCTCAGCCTCCCGAAGTGCTGGGATTCCAGGCGTGAGCCACAGTGCCCGGCCTCATTGTGGGGTTTCTGTTCCGCAGTTGCTGCTGTGGCCTGTGTGTGTGCGTCCCTCCAAACTCCCATGCTGAAACCTAATCCCCAGTGTGAGGGTATTAAAGAGGTGGGCCTTTGAGTGTGATTCAGGCATAAGGGAAGATGAGTGCCCGTTGGGGAGGCCCCAGAGGGCTGCCTCGCCCCTTCCGCCAAGCAAGGACACGGTGAGCATCTGGATGGGAACAGGCCTTGCCAGATACCCGTCTTGCCCACACCGCGATGGCGGGCCTGCAGCCTCCAGGACTGTGAGCAGTGCATGTCTGTGGTTTGTTAGCCTCTGGTTGATGGTATTTTGCGATCGCAACTCCCACGGAGAGACAGCTGCCTGGCCTGTAGTGTTGATAAAATCTGTGTGGCTGCACTGGTCATCTCATGCAAATGAACTTGTGTTGACGTCAAGCAGCCTGGAAAACAAAACAGCCTTAGTGTTCTCAGCCTGACGGGTGTACCTCTGGCGTTGTCAACTCCATTTCTTTGAGGGGTTTCTGTTTCTGGTCCCTAAAACAGCAGTGTCCCTGAAAACCTGAGTGAATGGAACTTTACACAACTGCCCGGAGCCTGGTTTGTCTTGCGGTTCTTCCTTATATAGTTTTTCTAGTTCCCTAGGGACCAAAAAGCATGCCGGGGGAGTTGCAAGCTTTTCTCAGTATTTTCAAAGGCTTTTGGAAATATTTACCTGGAAAGGACAGCATAAGGTATGAAAAATGTCAAGGGCTAGGCTGGGCGCAGTGGCTCACGCCTGGAATCCCAGCACTTTAGGAGGCCAAGGCGGGCAGATCACCTGAGGTCAGGAGTTTGACACCAGCCTGGCCAACATGATGAAAACTGTCTCTATTAAAAATACAAAATTCAGCCAGGCATGGTGGCCTGCACCTATAATCCCAGCTCCTCGGGAGGCTGAGGCACAAGAATCACTTAAACCCGGGAAGTGGAGGTTGCAGTGAGCTGAGATTGCACCACTGCACTCCAGCTTGGGCGACAGAGCAAGACTCCATTCAAAACAAATAAACAAATAAACAAACAAACATCAAGGGCTAGAATCTGTGTGGCCACGTTGAATACCATATGGAAGCTAAATTCCGCTTAAATGTGGCAGTTTGTTAACATTCGCCCACACACACGTACACATACACATACACACATGTGTGTGCAGGCATGCACACACATACATACACATGTACATATACACATACACGCATGTGTGTGCAGGTGTGCACACACACACATACATGTGTGCAGGTGTGTGCACACATGTACATATACACATACACACATGTGTGTGCAGGTGTGCACACACATGTACATACGTACATATACACATGCATGCATGTGTGTGCAGGTGTGCACACACATACACATACATGCATGCAGGCGTGTGCACACACGTATATATACACATACACACATGTGTGTGCAGGTGTGCACACATACATACACATACGTGCATGCAGGCGTGTGCACACACATACATATACATATGCATGTGTGTGCAGGTGTGCACACACACATATACACACACACGTGCGTGCAGGCGTACACACACACATTAAGTGCTAGCCTTGTGGTAACAAGGTAATTCCCAGTGCACTAATTAATGTTAAGTCCCATAGAGGCATGGTCATTATTATTACTTTTTCAAATTCTCTCTTTATTTTTCTGTTTGAAGACGTTGAAAGAAAAGCTTCTAGTTTGATGCTAAAATTCTGGCTAATCAAGAGAGAAGGCCTCAGGCTTGGAGCCATGGGCACGCATCAGCAGCATCTGGAAGGAATGTAAAACGTGGTTTTCTTTTTCATTGTTTTCATTCTTATATCACAGCCTGTGTATAGTGCTTGATACCGGCTTTCCAATCATGAAAATCTCCTTTCAAAATAAATGGACTTCACAAAGAGTATTAAATAAGCAGTGGTCCCAATGGTGTGCAGATGTGACAGACTGTGAATGTGCATGTGAATAGCCAAAGTTTGGGAAAGAGTTCTGTGCAGGATTAGCATGTGGGGTGGAAGAAATACTTCAGAAGAGCCCCTGCCGGAGAGTGGCCTCCACAGACACTGAACCGAAGGTGATCTGGTCGCTGGGTCTGGCTTTTTCGGGGTCACATTTTCTCTCCAGGAAGCCAGTACAGGGGGCAAACATAGGGACATACGGATAGCACTGGGTACGTGACAGAGCCCTCTTCCAGAGAAGTAAAGACTGAGGGGGCCATTGAGTCGATGCAGAGGTGAAGAGAGAGCTGCTGGACACAGGGTACCTGCCTAGACTCACCTGTCCTCTCAGCTCAGCTGCCTGCGGTGAGGCAACAGGTGCCAGTTGCTTCTTAATGGCTTCTTTTTTTTAAAATTTATTTTATTGCATTTTAGGTTTTGGGGTACATACATGTGAAGGACATGCAAGATTGTTGCATAGGTACACACGTGGCAGCGTGATTTGCTGCCTTCCTCCCCATCACCCATATTTGGCGTTTCTCCCCACGCTATCTCTCCCCAACTCCCCAACCCCTGCTGTCCCTCCCCTATTTCCCCCCAACAGACCCCAGTGTGTGAGGCTCCCCTCCCTGTGTCCATGTGTTCTCATTGTTCAACACCCGCCTATGAGTGAGAACATGCGGTGTTTAATCTTCTGCTCTTCTGTCAGTTTGCTGAGAATGATGGTTTCCAGGTTCATCCATGTCCCTACAAAGGATACAAACCTCATCGTTTTTGATGGCTGCATAATATTCCATGGTGTATATGTGCCACATTTTCCCTGTCCAGTCTATCATCGATGGGCATTTGGGTTGGTTCCAGGTCTTTGCTATTGTAAACAGTGCTGCAAAGAACATTCGTGTGCACGCTTCTTAAGTTAATAGTCTTTTAGGAACGACACCATCTTGCTGCTGCTGTTTTCATATGAAGCAGTCAGAAATGTTTTTCACTTCCTGGAGGAAATATGTCTCTTCTACCACTTCTTTTTTTCTGACCTGGAGTCTCGCTCTGTCTCCCAGGCTGGAGTGCAGTGGTGTGATCTCGGCTCACTGCAGCCTCCGCCTCCCAGGTTCAAGCAGCTCTCCTGCCTCAGCCTCCTGAGTAGCTGGGATTTACAGATGCACACCACCATGCCCGGCTAATTTTGTATTTTTAGTAGAGACGGGGTTTCTCCATGTTGGCCAGGCCGGTCTCCAACTCCTGACCTCAGGTGATCCACCCACCTCGGCCTTTCACAGTGCTGGGATTACAGGTGTGAGCCCCGCCCCCTTCTACCATTTCTTTATGGAACACGGCACCTCTCCTCTAATTGTCATTTGCCTACTTTTGAAAGCACAATATGAGTGTAAAAAGTGTTTGCGTTCCCTCCTAAAGTGACTGTTAGGAATCTTGTCCCTGCGGGGCAGGGAGCTGACTCTGCAGGAGCAGCCACAAGTCCAGAGGCTCTATTTATTTGGAGGGGCAAATGTGTGTGTGTGTGTGTGTTTATTAAAAATCATGTCAGTGAAATGCCTTTATTTTTAAGTGCTGGGATCTAAACTGTGCATGTCAGCATATGCGCATGCGTGCACACACACCACACACACACAT